TGTGTGTGTGTGTGTGTGTGTGTGTGTGTGTGTGTGTGTGTGTGTGTGTGTGTGTGTGTGTGTGTCAGTTATTTATTCCACAGAGTGAGGCATAGTGCAGGAAATGGGTGGGATATCCATTTTTCTTTTGTACAAAGTAAAACAAAAACCATAACTATTTTTTTCCCTCTGTCTCTGTTTTGCTTGTCATTCTAACTTGTTGTCTTATATCATGTCTGAAAGGGCATGCGGCAGACTTATACTGTCATTTTCTGTCTGTGTGCATTTGTGCCTGAGAAGCAGTATTTGTTATTATTATATCTGACCTTACAGATGAAAAATCAGCTCTTAATGGAGTTGTTAAGATTTCTCACCTTGACACTCAATTTCAAACATAATTTTTAAGTGTTCCAGATTTTGTTTGAATCTCTCTTACGAGCACTTTTTAATTTGGTTTTACAGTCAAGGTTAGGAGAGGGCCGAGTTAACGGTCCTCACAAAAACGAAAGTATAGATATGTGAGTGTCTGTAAGCCAACGCCTTGACGAGCATCCGGTTTTTGTTGAAACTCCACCGATGTGTCCTTAAATGTTAGGTCTGTTCTGTAATTTTACAGCTGAGCATCAGGGAGACGATACAGAAATGGGTCACGGAGTGAGACAGAGACAGGGATGATTATGGCACCAGTGGTTTTGGTTTCCTCTTCACAGCTAAACAGCAACATTGTTGACTGAAACAGAGTCAACAAGCTGTCCCACTCTGAATGCAGCTGCTCCTAAGGGATAGTCAGAGATAGTCAGGCGTGAAAACTAATTATTTCTCTGCTGATTGATGAGCGAAAAATTATATGGCATTGTTTAGCTGTATTCAAACACATCTCATCCTTTGTCATTCGTCTCTGCAAAATAGTGCATCAATCTGATGCACTATTTTGTGATGTCAGATGTCAGTTTATTATAAATGTTATGCATTACATTAAAATCTAGTGAAGTGTGTGTTTTAGATTGAGACATTAAAAGGTGTTTATCATTGGCAGTATCAATCTGATTTTTATTAAATATGATTGTAATTGTAAACTTGACATTTAAGTTGACATTTTCTGCAAACCATATTTCCAGCTGCATTTTCAAAGTACACACACAGGATAATGAAAGCAAAATCAGATGGTTGTTTCCTTTGTGAAAGGCTGCTTTTTTTAAATCATTTCATTCACTCATAAAGAGTCTAAAAGGGCCTTTTTGTTATAATTCATTATAATACTGATGTCAGAATGTGATGAAAGTATCCTAATTTATGTCACTCATCAATTTAACCTCCATTCAACAATTTAAAACTACAACTGTGCTCACTGAAGCTGTACCTGAGCGAAATGGTGCATTGACAATATAGTGTAGCTTGACAGTATTGTCCATTCAATCCAATTTCCACAGGTGTAAATCGAGTACCTAGCCCTTACAAGCATCTGTGAAAGAATGGGTTGTTGTTCACTGAATTTGAGCTGCGATGCTGTCAGGTCGTGAAATTTCTTGTAGGAGAAGGAAACCCCCGACTGAGACAGCGTGTAATATACGTGCAGGAGTTGCAGTACCAGCAGGGGGAGATGATATATTTAAAGCCACGAAGGTCTGAAGTACATTCCAGGATCCTTAATCACCAGAAATGATTAAGCTAGATGACTAATATGTATTTACAAATAAATGTGTTCTTAATGTCTGTTTAAAGCTTTCCTGTGGTTATTTTAATTTTGGCTTGAAATAA